CAGGAAGTTTGAAATATTTTAACTTGAAATGTGTTCATAATGTGAACTGTGTTTCAGAAAAGCGCGATCAACGGTTCCAAGAGCCAGACGAGAAGCTTACTACATACTGTCAATTACAGGCATATTCACATCTTTGAATTTTCTTTTTTCTTTCCACTTAGCTGTAAGAGGTCAGTAAATAACATGCACAGCCTTCAAGTGAATGAGCAGGTGTGTGTAAGTTAATGTAGAGCTTACACAAACCTGCACAGCAGCTTAGAATGGGGGCCGTGAACACACGGGGAAGTGTTGACCATGAAACCCAGGGGGCAAGGAGGGCACAGAGTGCTCCAGCCAAAACAGCTGCCACGCCACAGGGCAAAAAGCACGTTTAGAAATCTATGAAGAAGGAAAGGGCTGGTGTTAGAGCTCCTGCAAAGTCAGGAGCGGGGTAAAACCACATGAGCCCGAGCATGGGGTGTTAACTGCTCAGGGCAGGGTGTGGTAACTGCTTTTGTACACAGCCCTTGTCCCAGGCTCCGAGATCCTAATTTACAGAGCAGGCATAATTACCACCTCTCCTTTAAAAGTCACTGTTTGCAAAGCCATCCAGTGGCTGTAACTACACAGAATGGATACAGTCTAAATAAATTCTCACAACTGAAGACGAATTCCTTTAAAATGAACAAATTTAGGCTTCGCTTAAATGAATTTAAGCATAAATGAGTTTAAATTTTTCTCCTCACGGTATTTCCTGTGTGAAACCACAGCTCACTGTGCAAGAGTGACTTAAAAATAATTGACTATGAACAATTAACACTTTACACTGAAATTATGCATTTACAGCTCTGTTCATACTGGTTTCACTCAGCATTCGATAGAAATACCTTTAAAACAAAATGCTTACAAATGGTAGTTTCTCTCCATGTCTAATGTGAATGTTAAAAAAAGTATCCCAGATGGATTTGTTTGAAGAATCATTATCTGCAGCCTAGAACAATTGATGACTAAATGTCTAGTGAACAAGTGACAACTGTCTATCTAAATACAAGCTAACACAAGCCCTCTATGCAACACATAGTCTCAATACAATCGTAAGAACTACTCATGTTATAAAATTATGTGGATGTCTATTTGCAAAAGCAGTCACTGAGTTCTTTGATCACGTAGATCACTTTGAACACATTTGTCAATGTGTAACTTCTTACACTACTGAACTGTAAGTTTCTGCATTGATATTGTGATATTAAAAAATGTATTATGTGATATTAAAATAAGTAATCTGGACTA